CCTTCCATCCCTACCCCATTAAGCATATTATATATAAATACACATAAAATAATATAACTACAACTTATTTTCTTTTACAAATTATGATTCAAAGCGAACCGCCAAACCTTATCTTGAAACCAGTCAAATCGGAAAACATGATAATTTGAGATGGCTTTAAGTTACATTCATCTCTTTCTCATCGCTTTGTGAACAAATGAAATGGAAAGCTTAGGAGGCCTTCGAGCCGTCTGCTTTACTCAGCGCACAAGAAAAAAAAAGTCCCACTTTTGTGGTGGGTTTTTTTGTTGTTGTTGCTGTTTTACCCCTAGAATGTCACGGTCTTTCTTGCTGTCAAAACGTTTCTATATTTACGCGGTTTTTTAAAAGCGTGTTTCTGTACATTCGTTCCCATGCCTTGAGATTTGCTATTTTTACCTCATTTGCTAGGGATTTACATTTCTATTGCTTGGGTTTTCAATTTCTATTTCTCCTCTTGTTTTTTTTTTCTCTTTCTATAATGGGAAGATGGGAAGCGAGAGGTCGAAATACATGTACATAATATGTGAGGCAGCGTGGTGGAATCAGGCTCTCGTCAAAATAATCACAGTGAAGAAACTTGCATTTTTCCGCAGGTTTGTGAATTTTTGTCAAATTTGTGTTTTTTGGCTCAACAACTTTCATGCCCATTAAAGAACTCATTATTGTGTGGATTTTTCTGGAAAGCGTTGATTAAAGGCCCAAAAAGTAAATTTTCAGTTACCCCGGACTCTTAAGCTAAGGAAATAACTAATCCTTGGCGGCCATTTTCTCACTAATTTTACCTCTGAAAACAAGTTACCCCCAGTTCCTTCTTTCGCAAATATCTCGACCTGTATTCAAGATAAATGGATATTTTTTTCATCCAAATAAAGACAAGTGAATAAGCTTTAAGATGATACCAATAACGCTACATGCCCAAATATTGACGAGAGTCTGATTCCACCACGCTGCCTCACATATATATTATGTGAGGACCATAAAATGATAACCCCATAGTCCACCTCCCCCACTACCCACTCCCACCTCTTCCACCACCAACCCCCACCCCTCCAGAATATTCCCCCACTACCACCATCACCCATGCGCACCTCCCCCCTCCATCCCTTCCCACCACCACCACCACCCACCACCCACCATAACCCATCACCCCACACCACCACCCCTTCACCTTCCCCACCTCCACCACCACCATAACGCACTTTAGAGGGCTCTCGTGGCCTAGAGGTTAAAGGTGTTCGCCTCTCATTCAAAGGTCTCGGGTTCGAATCCGGGTAGCGACAGAAAATTTTCTTCTCTAAAAGTGTCTCCTTTCACTTTCTTTCCTTCTCTCTTGCAACATTCTGTCGCCTGCTTTCGTCTCCTCTTTCTTCCCCCACCCCCTCACCTCCTTTGCCCTCTCCTCTGGGCTCCTGACTCTTTCTACAGCATTTCTACTGCTACTCCTTGGCTCCTTCTTACTGCTGTCTTTCAGCCGCACCCCTGATCTTCTGGTAGGAAAAGATTTAAACCTAGCCTTCTCGGACAAGGACGAAAAATCTCGGAGGTCTCGTGTGCAAGTTGCGCACTTTAAAGATCCCGTGGTGGTTAAAAAATCGATAAGAGTAAGCTTCGGCCGCCACCCGGGTAGAATTCAAAATGTCCTACCCATTGAAAATGTTTGGTGTGCCCCGCGCGCTCATATGACCTTATGCAGTTGCGAGCGCCGTAAAACACTTACCAAAAGAAAAATAAGTAATAAGAAATAACCCATCACCATACCGCCATCACCGATGTCAATCTTTCCCCACCCCTACATTAAAATTTCCCCTTCCATTCATTAAAGTCAGAACTTAATTGCCGGATGAGCAAAACCAACACACAACTATATTTCATTATTAACTTCTTTTCTTTGAGGGAGAGAGGGGGAAGAGGGAGGGGAGAAAGAAGGGGAAACATGTGCGAGAGAGAGGGGGGTACGGGAGGATAGAGAGAGAGTGGGAGAGAGATAAAGATAGAGATATAGAGGGGGGGAGAGAGAGAGAATGTGTATGTGTG